GCATAATGCTCTCCAGTTCCACCCATGCTGTGGCAAAGAGCAGGAGTTACCTCTTTCTTTCTGCTGCATAGTATTCCATTGTGTAAATGTACCCCAGTTTTTTTCAGATATCCCATGCAGCAATATTTTCACTGATACATGCTCTAGGGCAGGGGTTATAAAGGAAAGAATAAACAAATGGAATCTTATCAGACTAAAGAGCTTCTGTACGGCTAAAGAAAACACCAACAAAATGGAAAGGGAACCAACCATGTGGGAACACACATTTGCCAACGATACCTCAGACAGGTTTGATCTCCGAAGTACATAAAGAACTCACACAACTCCACACCAGGAAGACAAGCCATCCAATTAAAGAATGGGCAAAGGACCTGAACAGACACTTCTCCGAGGAGGATATCCAGAGGGCGCACAGACACATGAAGAAATGCTCAGCATCACTAGCCACCAGAGAGATGCAAACTGAATAACATTTTTGAAGGAAGTTCAGCTGCGTTCCTTCCAGGAGCCTGGCTGCATGGCCAGAGGGCCGGCTGCCTTGAACTGTTCAGGTGGCCCCGCTTAGCAGACACATTACAGAAATGCACGTAAGAGCCTCTCAAGTGTTCAGAAGCCATTTTTCTTCTGTAGAATGATGCCCCTTTCAGGCTTATGTATCCTCTTAATTTGCCTAACCAACTGCGTTCCCTCCTGATACACGGCAAGTTCAATGTGGAATGAGCTCTTCTAGATCTGGGGACTTGGTGGGGAAAGAGCGTTGCCGGGTTTAACCGCAGGCCCCCAGTGGCTGGGTTTTCTAGGAGGGGTTTCCTGGGAGACCACAGCAGCAGCGGGCGTCCTCTGAGGGCTTGCTGCGTTAGTTACCTCGTGCTCACCCAGAACAAGCCCGTTTTACAGATGAGGACCTTGAGGCCCAGAGAGGACGACCTGCTGACTCCCAGGAACAGCTGCCGCATGATGGGACTGGCGCATCTGGTGCTGGAGTGCAGGCTCGTAACTGGCAAGGGGCTCGGCTGCTTGTTTCTGCCCGGAGAGGGGTGGTCCCGGCACGGAGCCAGAGGAGGGCCCTGAGGGCAGCCCCTCCGCAGGCGACCTGGATCTCTGCGTGGGGTGGGGTGGACGCTGCCCAGCAGAGGAGAGCAAGCCAGGCGCTGGTAACCCGGCCGGGCCATCCCTCCTCTCTCCAGGAGTTTGTGTCATGAAGGCCACAGATGCCTGGGGTGACAGCTTAAAACTGTAGGATTGTTTCGTGGTGATAACCTCTGCAGGTCCGTGGAAGAACTTCTCAACTGCTGGGTTTCACTCAGAACTCCCAAGATTCTGTTGGTCTCCATGTTAGGAAAATCTTCAGCCCATTGTGTTGTCCAGCAGAGGCAGAGAGCCCCCGAATAAGCTCAGGCGCCCCTGGAGCTCAGGCTGCTCTGGGGTATAGGGCCCCATCCCTGGTTCCTGGGAGTGCCAGGGGCAGCACTGGGTGGGGGTGGAAGGGGCCGTGTTTAATCATACGGTGGCCAGTGAGGCCAAGGCAGCTCTGGCTGTGCTCCTGTTCTGGACAGATCACCAGAAAAACGATGCCTTGAGGGGCGTCGACTGCTGACCCCCACTCTTCCAAAGGCTGCCTAGATGCAGCATCTGGCCCTTCCAAGGAAAGCCAATAGTCATTGACCCAGCTGGGACCTGCGCCCTGACCAACCGAGAGGGGGGCTCAACATGGCTCCCTCCTTCCCCGAGCACAGCGTCAGCCCACTCCCCTGACTCCGGTCCCGAGGCTGCACTCCCCTCTCGAACCCTCACAGCCTCGCACCCGCAGCCACCCCCTCCTGGACCTGCACCAAGGCTTCACCGCCCCCCCCCACTCTTCCCCTGCCCCCCAATCTCCCATCCTTCCCATTTTCTCACTCCTTCTTCCTGCCGTACCTTAGCCTCTACCCTGGAAACCACCACGCTCTAGGCCTGGGCTTCTCCCACTTCCGCCCTTTCTGACCTCACGCCCCTCTGTCCTGAAATTGCACCACTCGCTTGCCCAGCCCTCAGTTCCTGCACCCCTTGTCCACCCTCTTCCCTCGTGCATCCAAGTCAGTGGTTTTCTTCAGCTGGGGGCGATCTTGCACCCTCCAGCCCCGGAACATTTGGCAACATGTGGAGAAGGTTTCAGTCATCCCATCCGCATGAATGGAGTCAGACCAGCGGGGCCTGCCGGGGGGCCCTGTCGGTGTTGTACCCACCTGCCCCTTTCCGGAGCTCCGCACGCTTGTGTTCGTTAGTGTCTGGCCTTCCTCGAGGGCTTCTGAGATCTCGGGCTGTGCCTGGCATGTCCCCCTGATCCGGCCAGCACTTAGCACGTAGTAGGTGCCCGAAATACAGGTTGACCGTTCCTGGAAAAGACATTCTAGTGGGACCAAAATAATGGTCACAGATGAGAGAAAGCTGCCAGAATGAAATCATTAGAATTGCTCCCGCCCTGAGCTGGGACTCAGGCATCCAACTGGCCTTCGCTTCCTTCTCAGCCCCAGGGTCTCTGACCTGGGCCTGGGGGCGGGGCCTGGAGTGGAGTGGGCGTGTGTTGGCTGCCCAGCCCACTGCAGGAAGCTCTGTGCCCTCCCCAACCCAGAAAGAGAGGGGCAGAAGGGGAAATGAGAATCTTAGGGGACCGCCCACCCTGGTGTCCTTTGGGGCTGTCTGAGCCGTGAAGCTGGGGGAAGACAGCGGGGACGCTTGTGGCCTGCTGTCCACTGGGAATGGCTGCAGAGCTCTCTCCCTCTTCTCCCCTCAGGACACATGCTTCTCCTACATCCCAGGGACTGATCTGAAGCCGCGGCACAAAATTCATGCTCACTAAGTAGTAGCTGCTCTAGTTACTGTTTGTGTCCAGTGTATCTCCTGGATCTCCTGGGCTGGGTTGGGGGGAGGGGCGAGGACGGAGGGCTGGGCTGGGAGCTGTCTCACCCAGCGGGGTTTGTCACGGCCAGCCTGGGACGTTCCTGCGAACTGTAGAGCCTGCCGCAGCGGGCAGGAGGGGGCTACACAGGAAAGAGCACCGGGTCGGCCCTCCCTGCCTGCCCGCCCCACGCAAGGGTGTTGTGGGGAGGGACCCAAAGGTGCACTTGTGTTTGCTCTGGCAGGTTTTCGGGTGGCTGTGGGGAGCCCAGGGAGATGACAGATCACCAGCCAGTCATGTGAAAGGACTCAGGGGAGACCCTCCCCTGGGCCAGTGTGAGCAAAACCTACGGCTTGTGGGAGAGGTGTCTCCCAGGACTCGAGGACTCAGAATGCTCAATTCGGAACACAAGGAACCTGGGAGCCTCTATCTCCAAACACCATGTTCCAGTAAACAATAAACTTGTTAAGAGTAGGAGCCCTACCCTGATCTTTTGTCTGGGAATCTGCAGCATCCAGTTGAGAACTGTTTCCGGGCAGCGATTCCCTATCTCCAGGCATCTTCAAGTGCAGATGAGCGGGACGGCCCCTTGGGGCCACATTAACTGTAAACTCAGTAGTGGACCAGGGACAATGAAGGCCCCCCCGCCCATCACGAGGTTGCATTTGGTGACTTGGGTGTGTGACCTAGGTTGTGTGGTGGCGGTGGGCTTTGCGGGGGTGAGGAGGCCGCCCCTTCCCAAGGTGGTGCCCAGTGCTTCCCTCAGGAGGCCGCTCAGAACACAGGGGCTCCCTGCGAAGGACACGAGCAGGACTGTGGCTGCTTCGCCAGGGGAGCCCCCAGCACTGAGACCCTCCTTCTCAGCCCAGAGCCCTCTTGCCACTCATGGGCTGCACCTCGGACCTCTCCAGCTCTTTTCCATCTCCAGGGCCTTCCCTCTTTCCTTTCACCTGCTCCCCAGGCGCAAGCCTCGGCCTCCCCTTCACCTCCACGCAGCCAGACCAGGCCAGGCCAGGCCAGGGACTAATGGGCCCGACCCGCCTCCTGACTCCAGGCCCCTGCCTGCTGGCCCCAGAGGGCTGGGGCTGGGCAGCAGCTGGGCTTCCCTAACGGTGTTCCTCATCTCCCTGCTGTGAGCTCCTCCAGCTCATTCCAGAGCGGCCCTTCCCGTCACCCAGGGAGCCGGGACTGGGAGGGTCACACCCTGCTGCCCACCTACCCACCGGGGTTCTGAGAAGAGGGACTTTCCTTACGGGAAAGCATGTGATGCTTCTCAGGGACCCTGTCACGTGGATGTTGTTGAAGCTCCGGTGAGGCAATCCGCTGGGACGGTTGAAATTTCAGGTTAAGAGAAACAGCTGAGGAAGCGAGGAGTCGGGGCTGGAAGCCTCCCTCCCGCTGTCTCTGCGGGGAAGAGCTGGGCGGAAGGCGGCCCGCTCAGAGGCCTGGCAGGGAGGTGGGCGAGGGGTCCTGCGGCCACCCTCCAGAAGTGCCCGGGGCCAGTGGCGAAGCCCAGAGGGCAGCCAGTTCAGTGGGACCTTAGCCACCAGCCCTGCTTCTGGCCCTGGCCGACTCCTCCGGCACCTCTGGCTCCAGTCTCAGCGATGGTGGTGTGGGGAGGGGGCAGCTCCAAGCTCCCCCTCCAGGTTCCAAGCTCTGAGCTCCATGGCCCAGAGGAACGGGGCAAAATTGGTTTACCGGGTCACTGTCCAGAGGGTAAGTGGTCCAGGGCCTGGCACGCCCAGACTTCTTCAAGTGTAGCCACCATGGATTCTATTCTGGTGCAGGAAGCTTGGCCAGATATTTTGGCCACATTGTTTACCAACACTGTTTGTCACCCTCAGGTCGGTAATTTGCAAAGGGCTAGGTGCCTAGTCTGACGTATAGTGATCAAACAGCTTTTCTTTGAAGACTTAGAAGGTGCTGGGAGAAGAAGGGTGTAATGCCAGAAACTTGCTGGAGGCGGTGCCCAATGGACCTTCTCTGCTGAATTGTATCTCCTTAGCAGAGAGCCCCTCCCGCCGCCCCACCCAAGGGTGCCCAGAGCCTGGGGCTAATTCCTGGGGATGGTGATACACCTCAGCCTCCTCAGACCTGACTTCCCCTCGCTCTGTGTCTCCAGGCTGCTGAACAGGATGTCCGCAGACGACCGGCACCTGACCTCCAGCTGCGGCTCCTTCATCAAGACGGAGCCGTCCAGCCCGTGCTCGGGCATCGACGCCCTCAGCCACCACAGCCCCAGCAGCTCGTCGGACACCAGCGGCGCCTTTGGCCTGGCCCTGGGCGCCCACGCCAACGGTCTGGACTCGCCGCCCATGTTTGCCAGCGCCGGGCTGGGAGGCACCCCGTGTCGTAAGAGCTACGAGGACTGTGCCAGCGGCATCATGGAGGACTCGGCCATCAAGTGCGAGTACATGCTGAACGCCATCCCCAAGCGCCTGTGCCTCGTGTGTGGGGACATTGCCTCTGGCTACCACTACGGCGTGGCCTCCTGCGAGGCCTGCAAGGCCTTCTTCAAGAGGACCATCCAAGGTGCGTGGCAGCCGAGCGGGGCCCTGCATGGGTGCGGGAGGGGGCGCCCGGGCCTGCGGCCCAACAGGCAACCGCGTGATCCCCCGAGCTGCCAGGTCAGGCCTGGGTGCCGGGAGCAGAGACTCAAGGTCCCCCTTTTCTGTCTCACAGATTGCCTCATCACGGCTGCGCCCCTCACTGGGGTGGGGGACACAGTCAAATGTGTGCCCCTCAGAAAGCCGATTCGGGGGGAATAGCATTTTTTGCCTTGCAATTGCAAATCTCTCGAAATATAAAGGGCCTCTCTCTCCCCCACCCCCCTTATTACACAAGTGAAACATGACTTTTTCACGTGGGCTCAGGCTGGCTGAGCAAGGAGACGTTCCCCAGACCACTCACCCCATCCAGGGCCCAGTGTGGCCTGTGTTCTAGGGTTTTTCCGATGCGTCTGTGTGTCAGCTGAGTCGTGTCCCAGTGGCTAGGGGGTGGCTGCCTCTTTCAATGGGTAATGGAGCCAATCATCCTGATGAAGGCGTGCCAGCTCCCTGATGGGTCCCCTCTGGAAAGTGACCCCTAGTTCAACTGGGGATGATGATGAGCTGTTACAAAGTTCAAGGCACAGGCCCAGCCCAGAGAGACGGCCGGGCCCGCGAAGCTGAGCTTCCTCCTGCAGCAGCAGGCGTGGGTAGAACACAGGCAGCCCCCGTTCAGCCAGGCATCTGCCGAGCGCTGCTCCAGGTGCTGGCAACAGAGGAGACCGAGGGCCCAGCTCCCGCAGATCGCTGAGACGGGCAGTGCTGCTGAGACGGGCAGTGCCACTGGGGTGGGCAGTGCCAACCAGCCTGGGGAAAACCAGGGGCACCTGCCCTGCCCCGGGCCCTGATGCCTCCTCCAGGACTGGCCTGCCTGTCCCCAGGCGGTCCTCACCATCCCCCCCCCCCCAACCCCCGCTTCCCTTTTGGAAGAGGCAGGCCGAGCGTCCCCGGGATGGTTCTCAGGGTACTCACTCAACAAATATTGATTTGTTGAGATCTTTTCAGATGACTGTTTATTTGTTAAACCTGTCACGGGCATTAAGACCGGACATGTTTCTGATTCTGCGTATCGGTTGAGATGGTGCGGTGCAGCGGCCGGCCCCCGGGCTCCCGGGTCGGACGGCTCCCCTCGCTACCTTATGGCCGGATGCCATGGGCCGCACTTCCTCGCTCACCCTCAGGGAGAGGACATGGCCCTGCCCTGCAGGGAGCGGTAGAACAGGGTCGGGGTAATATGTATCAAGCACTTAGAAGAGGCACTGGCACCTAGTGAGTATAGAACAAGTGTTTGTAATAATTACTTTCACTTTTATAATGTCCCTTAAGACATCGCTAAGACAATGGATATACAATTTGTGTTATCTGACAGAGCAGGCTTTTCTAATTGCATATATTTAACTAAAACTATAATTATTTTGACTTAACAGGATTTAAATTATCTTAGCTATTTTAGTTATAGATAGTATTTTGTTTCTTTTTTTGTTTTTTTTTAAGATTTTATTTACTTATTTTTAGAGAGGGGAGGGAGGTAGAGAGAGAGAGAGAAACATCAATGCGCAGTTGCTGGGGGTCATGGCCTGCAACCCAGGCATGTGCTCTGACTGGGAATCGAACCTGCGACATTTTGGTTCGCAGCCCGCGCTCAATCCACTGAGCTACGCCAGCCAGGGGATAGTATTTTGTTTAAAAAAGGAACTCTTTAAAAAAATAAAAACATGGCAAAAATTCAAGCAGATCGAAAGAGCAAACCAGTAGAAAGTAAGTTTTCTGAAAACCCCAGACTCTGGTTCCCTGAACCTTCCCCAGATGGAACCATGGTAACGATTTCTTTCAGCCAATAGGAGTCGAGCACTTGCGCACCAGGCACCGCGCTAGCCTCCAGCACCGTGAGCAAATGTGTCTGGTCCCTGCCGGCCTTGAACCCCAAGTCTGGGGAGAGGCCCCGGTGTCTCTAGATTTGAAAAGCATCGCATGGTGGTTCTGGCTCCTGCCTCAGCCAGGGTGGAAAACCTCCAGTCCGATTTCTAATCCATATCATCAGATATTTGACAAATAGACATGAGATGTTTAAACCAATGAAAGTTACTGAAACCGCACGTTTTTTCCTTCACAAACTGGGAAGTGATCTTGGTAGGGTTGACTCCGAAGGCAGTTTTGAAAAACTTTTTTAGGACACCATTACTTTTCCTTCTCCCAAACATGTTCTTAAATGAGCCGGAGCGTTCTGGGTCACGTGTGTGGAAGGCAGGGGCAGGTGCAGACGCAGAAACCCCCCACTTACGCCCTCAACAGAGGCCCGGTGCTGAGAACGTCCTCAGCAAATCAGGAGGAGGCTTTGTAAACAGTCTTAATTATTTGCTACCACGAATAGGATAATGATCTCTTCCTAGAAGTCAAACGACAAACAGCAGCGTTTTAGCGCCGGCAGAACTGAACTGGTCTCTCTTCTTTCTCACGAGGAGAGTTTCGCGTTTCTACCCGATAGGAGGTTTCTATCTAGAACAGGGAAGAGTAAACTTGGCTTATTTTATTAACTCTTTGGTTTTGTTCTAACAAAGATTCTAACTCTGTTGTTTCTGAATGCAATCACTATAGAAAAATTGGACAAAATAAGTCAAGTATAGAAGAGGGGAGGAAATGGACTGTGATTCATGGGACCGTCGCAGAGCCAAGCTAAGCACTGAGTGAGCATTTGTGGAGCTGCCGCTGAGTGAGGGGCTGCAGGGGGCGCTAGAGAGGAGTGGGGCCTGCCCTCCCGAAGCCTAGGGAGCCTCAGTCTGCAGGCGTAGCCTTGAGTAGCTTCCTTAGCACCTACCCAATTAGGAAGGATATTTTCAAAAGTTCACCAACTCTCCCTGAGGGCCTTTCATCATGGAATGATCCATTCAATTTGTGAATGGAGAGCTCTGAAAATCACGCTCACTCACACCAGCCTCCCTCCTTGGGTCACGTTAGTCTGCTCAACTCAGTGGTTGCACTGACGGGGAAAAAGAAGCTTTGCAGAGCAAGGAGGTCACGACAGCTTTAGGGAGAGAGGCCTCAGTCATTCCTTCTCTACAGGTACTTACTGAGCACTGACTGTGTGCTGGTCTGTGCTAGGGCTGGCTGGAGGGGGTAGGGGAGGTGGGGGAAGGAGAGCCCGCAGGCTGGCCACCTGCTTTTGTTAATCAAGTTTGTTGGGACCAGCCACACCCACTGGTTTTCGTATAGTCGATGGCTGCTTGGATGATCCAACTGCAGCACTGAGTAGCTACGACGTAGACCTCCTGGCCACAAAGCCTGACACGTTTACTGTGGCCCCTACAGAAAACATGGGCACGCCCTTGCACTACAGCATCAAGCAGGTAGACTCGGCGCCCCTGCCTGTTACGTGTTCATTACAACTTTTGCCAGATTCTTTGCTGTGGAGAGGAGTTCCTTGTCCTTGCTGGGGGTTGTGGTGACAGTCCCCCAAGGTAGACGAGCTCAGAATTAGATAAAAAAGGCACCTCCCTGAGCTCCAAAGTCTCCAAAGGAGCTAATCCTCCACCTGATTGAATTTACTAGCTTATCTAAAGGCAAAGATGCGCCCATCAAAAGCATGGATCTGCCCCAGGGGCATAGAACACAGGGAGGGCCTTGGCTAAGGCACCACTTCCAGGAAAGGGAGTCGGCCTGGGACGGCAGATGTGATCTAGTTCTCCCATAGGTAGGTCTTCTGCTTGCGGTGAACTGGATTAGGCCGGTCAGTGTCTCCCTATCCTTGAGTGTGCGAACCTCTCTGGGCCTCTACGTCAACTGTCTCCGTTAGAGCAGTGTGAGCCTGCCCCTAGGACATGGAGTCCCTTCCTGTGGCTTCTGGATCCTAGGGCTGAGTGCCAGGTTCCGGACCGTGACACTGACCCCCAGAGGGACAGAAAGCTGTGTAGCGAGTACCGAAGCAATGAGGAGAATTTTGCAGAAGCTGCCCTGGGGCCTTTTCCAAGCCCTACTCCTTGGTGTGGTCCTCTCTCGTTCTCAGCATTGATCCTGCCTCCTGTTCCATTGAGAAACTAGAAGCTTTGTCTGGGAACGCCCTCAGCTTGTTGCCACCAAAACGACACACTCCCACACCTGCAGCAGCTGGCACTCATTGGTTGCGTAGTTACTTGGAGCCACCCAGTCTCTGCTGGAAGGTGTCCCCTCCCCCAGGCCCAGCGCTGCCAGGCTTTGAATCTGTCTCCTCCCTGCTTCGCCAGGACCCTCCTACCCACTGTCTCCTCCTCCTTATCTTCTTACTCTCTACTTCCTCCTTCTCTCTTTCAGCATTTAAATGCTTATCTCCAGTTAAGAAAGAAAGAAACCTCCCCTCACACCTCAGCTTCTAGTACGACCCTTCTCTTCCTCTTTTCAGTTCTTGACTCACCTTCTAAATCTCTCCTTATGAGCTTAAACTTTCCTCCCACCCACAGCTCCAGCTGCCCCTGGAATCAGGACGACAGTCCCAGTTCCATGGCTCTTGCCCTCCACTTCTCCTTGAGCTCCAGCTCCTTGCGCATCCGATGAACATTTCCACGCCGGCGTCCCAGGAGCACCCCAAAGGCAACGAGCGCTGACCGTCAGACGTTTCTCCTTGCAGTCCCACTTCGGCCCCAGTCACTCCTCCAGCATTTAAGCCAGAAATGGGTCTGTTCTCTAACTTGGCTTCCTGCCCTTCGCGCCCCCTCCTTTCCAACCCAACGGTTTCTCTCCACCGCCCTGGTCTCCGCTGCCAGGCTCACCCCTTCCAGTCTGTGGCCTTCGGTACTGCCGGAGAGACCTTTCTGAACGAACGGGTGAACGTGTCACTCTTCTGTCTCCTTGTAGGTAGAATCAAAGCTCCCGCACGTGGTTGTCAGTGTGCTTTGCGGTCACCCCACGATGACGTCGTGGCCTCATCTTGTGCCCTATCTCTTGCAGGCTAAAGGGCGGCCAGACTGCTCTGTTTTCTCGTTCCCACAACTCGTCCCATGCTTTCAGTCTCTGGAC